TACATTAACTGGACTTCATGAATATCAGTGATGCATTGATTGTGCATTTAGATAGTGAATACCTGTTAATCAAGTGAGGAAGAAAAATTAGCGCTACATAAGTTTTATAAACTCAACCAATTGTGTCAAAGAGAAGAGTCACCACTAAATAGAATCAGTAGGATCCAGAGATGAGTAAATTATTAATTTCTTAGATGATCACTGCTTCTCTCTGTTGTTCACTGACTTCATTGAGAAAAGTTGGTATCTCTCTGTAATGTAACAGCCTTAAGTAATAGCATTTCAAGATCCACAGTTATTCAGAAACCTTAAACACATAGCTTTTTGATACCGGGACTGCGTGTATAAGATATTTCACCACGTCTAATGTTACAGATAAACAAATGTGAACTGTGAGATATCTTAAAAGTTTTACGTTCGTTTTATGAGCCTTGGAATCCATGAACTGAACTCAAGAAATATTTTCAACCAGAGGTCTGTCTATATCATGGGCTGCAAAAAATATTCATCTCACACGTTTGATCAGATCTTGTTTTACTTATTTTAACAATTTAATTGTCAACTAATCATAAAGCATACTTCCATGCACTCTGAAAATATCTTTCATATACCTATAGACAGGTTCATAACAAGACTATGAGAAAATATCAGAGTAGGAGGCAGTTAGTCACTGAGCGCACAACATTACATCATATAGCTATTACAGGTCGGATATATGATACACCACTACCAAATTTGTGTTCGCCTTTATGTTCGACCCATGTACAACAAAATACAGACTAGAGGATGAACTAAACACTACTGGTTGTTGCGCATTGCTGCTTATCATACTGTTATTGTTAAAATTATTTAACTGCCGTGGTTACTTAATTTGCAAACTTTATACAAGTAATGAGTTCGTTGAAATATCACAATAAAAATTCCAAACTGGAGATTTCAACATAAAAATGTTAGACTTTACGAAATATGAACAGCGTGAATGAAATAAAAATATTTCAGAAACATTATTTATAGATGTAATGATAGGAGGGAAGTGATGCGGTGGTAGGAAAATGTATCAGCATAAGTTCATCATTTTTGTCCATATAAGATAATTTTGATCCACTAATATTTTTATACAGTTTTGCCTTGTTTTATATACCGTCCTTATAATTACGCGTATTTTGTGTCACAGAAAGTTAGGAAATTCATCAGTTATACCTGTTGCCTGACACCAATTCAGTGATGGATTCAAGTCAATGATTTGGCTCCAGAGAAAGAAATCATCACTCGATCAATCTATAAGTCAGCTCTGTTAACCATCAGTAGTCTTTTCATACCATTTAATAAATTTATTTTACAATAAAGAAGGCAGAAGCATAAGTGACCAAAAAACAATCCCGAGAAAAATCTTCCCAGTGCAATAGAGAAGAGGAAAGACAGCAAAATTCTAAAACATCTACAAAGTTGTTGAGCTCAAAAGCTAACAGATGTCAGTAGGATAAGCAAAAGATTTTGAATAACTGATCAACCATTTAATGTTTTGAGATCTAGGTTACGCCTTTACTTACCTAGGACGAAAATTTATCTCTGTTCACTCTCAATAAACTAGCTCTAGGAATTACTAGTGTATTCCGTCTTTGGTTTGATTTAAATTCTGGTCGTTGAATAAAATTTTATCTTCTAAGATCGGGGCCAGCTAGTGAAATTAAACAAATGTAATAGTAAATAACAGTCTTAATTAATTTGTCTAACTTATTTGACACTTTCATACTGTGCATGAGTTGAGTGATACTTTAGAACTACATCAATCAATAATTCACTGGCAATTCGAAGATGGTCCAGATCATTACCCAACCAACAGCTATTCGAAAAGAACCTAATTTACCAAGATGAGATTAGCAGAATTAAAGTGCAACTGATGTTATACATGATATAAGCAGACATTTTCTGAATAAAAACATATCCAAGCTATCTTGGACAACTTAGTCTGCAGAACATTTTGTTTTATCCTAAGTTTGTTAGTCATACAAGTTTGTACAGGTTATAATCAGCTTTATACAGAACCCTAACCTCTCCCATCATCCCAGAGATAATTAGACAATAGAACAATATATCACAATAGATTTGGTTTAATTTCCTACTCTCATGATGAGTATACAACTAAATACATACTTCACATATAGGTCATATTCTGAAATTAAAGGTCTGGCAGAGCGAAAAGTGAGTGTAAACTAATGTTTAAGTTGATATCAAAAACTCTTGTAGTGTATAATTAAGTTAATTATTCACCCGTTAAGTCATTTCTATAACAGAGTCCGTGAGAAAAGTTATTGAGTAAATTTGAAATTATTTTTTGTGTAGTACTTCCTGTTTTTAACAACAAGCCTAATAAAGATACTGTTAACCTGACCTGAATGATACAGAAATGTTAAGGCGAAATCAGTTTGTCCGTCTGGTGGTTTCCAACTTGATATAAATACTTTTTCGTGTTTAATATGCGGATGAAAGAACACCGTTGATTACTGCTGAAATGAATTTCACCGTAGTTAAGTTCTAAAGTAAATCCATTGAGGAACTGCTGAAAGTGAAAAATTACAAACAGCCATTTAATCTGACCAAATAGAAGTTGGCATAATCTGCCGAATAAAAAAGTTCGTGCATATGTAACCGTCATAAGTATATATAAAACTTCTACTGTTTCTTTTTACACATAATACCACTTAAAGGGAAAATGGAGTATTTGATATCATGTTCAACTATGAAACAAATTCAGTAAATTTTTTCATTGGAATATATCACATATTTGCTTATTGCTACATAAAAAGTGTAAGTTCACTAGAGTCGCCATTTTTATGTTGCCGATGCACTTTCATATAAGACCTGTAATCCCCTAGTAGTGTTGAGAGGGTAGTGTTTTACTGTTCACTTACTTTCCAAAAAAGTTTTCACCTATATGGAGAAAACGGATACATTTTCCGGGATTGTGCTTATTTTTTAAAAGCAGCACTGTTATCTCTAGACGTACGAAAAAATGTCAAAGATATAAATGAACTAATAAATATCAAAGTATTCGATCCTCTTCCAATAATATAAAGTAGAGAGGTTCAAATCAATGCAAATTGGTAGTTTCTTCATATAGTTCTATTCACCTACAGGCTGAAAAATGATAAAGGATTGCAAACTTAGACAAAGGTTGGTGGTTCAGATACTACAGTCTGTAAAAAAACAAGAAGTTTTAATGGGTATTCATCCTTCAAGCCAGCCAAACGTGAACCAATTAGTGCAGATTTTATAAGAAGTCTAGATAATCGAGCTCTAAAGTTGGTTAGCTGGTCAAACAAATTATTCATGGAAGTGGAATATACAAAAGGAATCCGCTAAGCGACAACTTTTACCAATAGTTTATGTGGAATTTCATGCTAATAGATATGAAGAAAACTTAGCATTAATGTACCGAATGATTTCAGCATAAGTAAGAGGGTATTCTTGATCCTTGTAATGTTATCACAAAACAAAGGATCATCAAAATCTCCTAGAATTCATATTATATTGGAATCGCATTTAAGCATGTGAAAAGCTTTTTGCCTGAATTTCCTGTTGACCTACTGAAGCGAGGTAATTTGTCGAACGAAATATCAAATACTGGTTTTGAACCGAAGTAAATATGTCGAAGAAGCCACAACAAGATATTCAGATTACAACATCATAGGATCTTGTCCAATTTGAGAATGACTAACCCAAACAAGACTAGTAATTGGGAAGAAATCATCTATTTTACTAGATATGTCTATGTGCAATAACACAATGAGGTCGAAAAGGAAGCAGTCATAAACATTAAAATACGTGTGAAATACTTTACTATAAGCAACGAAACTTGCAGCATCTAACAGAAGTTGATACTCCACTATCTGCCACACCAGATAACCGTATTTTTCGCAAAACAAGAGAAATATTTTCATGGAATTGCGGTAAGATGGGGAAATAGGTTCATGAGCGCATGGAAACTGCAGCTTAGCTGTCAAGCCGTTCAATACTGTAAGCAAACATTTGGATTCGTATTTCTACAAATAAACAAGTATCTTGACGCTTATTTGCTTCAGCATGTATACACCATAACCCAGAAAGGTAATGCCAGACGATATATTTCAGAATCTTCACTTAATAAGTGTTAAATTGATTTGAAAACTTTCAGAAAGAATATATATCTCATCGATGATAGAAGAAAAGAATTAGCACAATGAGGAAGAGTACAGCTCCAGTCTAATCAGTCGCGGCCCATATGGTTCACTTCAAAGTGTCATCACATACAATGAATTATAATATAGAGTTTATCTCTTTACTTGAAACTGACTTCAGCAGACCACAATACTTTAGGGTACAGTAAAAATTCTGGTTCAATTAAATTAGATAAGAAGCATTATTATTCAAATATCTAACTTGAAAAACCTTCAGGAATCATATTTTCACTGTGATACACAAAGTGCCTCTGTCTGTTATGTATCAACAAGAAAACTATGAAGAAATATGTTTGCAAATTAATTTGCAACAAAATCTTGAAATGAGTTTACGTTTCATTGTTCCTAGGCAGTGTATCAAAAATAAGTTAAATCCAGTGCAAAAACACAGTGGATACTCAGTATGGTTCTATCGTGATGTTTAAATATGAACTTAGTGAATACTTCGCCCTCCATTTTGAATCAACGAAACGGCTGTTTGCCAGTACAGGAGGATGAATATATTTCAGTTGGAAAAAGTGTATAACCAGCGACAAGTAAACTGAAAAATGTTTTCTCTTGACCGGAGATAACTTTCTATTTGTAGACCAAAACAATCTGAAAGATGAATTGCAAACTTCTCTAACTATATCTTGGGAATGTTTTGAGACCCTGAAGTGAATGCATCATGGTTAATAGAGGTTTAAATGTTCACTGAGATACATGTTGTTACTTTTTCGTATTCACCTACAGTATAGTGTTCTGAGTGCTGCGTATATACAATCTGTTTTAATTTGTATACAGAATAATACCGGCCATGAAACCAACTTTTCTATGTATTACGCTTAAAATACCAGGGATGAAATTGTGTTCAGTGCTATTTATATATACCGGCATGATCCACTACTCATCGTGTTGTTTGCCAACATAGAAGCCGACGTACTTATCTGCAAGTGTCACAAGTTTCTACAGATGATGTGAATATGTTGTAAGTAAGAGGCCTATGAATATTTATGTTTCGCAGATTTTATTATAAATATATGCATCTAAATGTGGAAAATGAAACTTGTTAACTAGCCCTTTTTTGTAATATAAATTGCGAATTGTATATAACATATGAATCTTAGTACATTGGTTAGAGACACTAATGTGATCTTTATAGTCTGATCAATTTGAAGGTCACAGCTGCAGTTTTTTAGGACTTGGTTTCTCCACTAGTATTATTAGTAAAAACTCAACCAAAGCTTTATTGAAAATTGAAAAGATTAGTAGCGTATACAAAATCTGATAATTTATCATGAGGTACCAGTCATTTCTGTTCTCAGTTACAGATTGTTCTCACCTCTCGTTTAATCCAACACAAAATATCTTTCTGCATAATCATGATTCAACCTGTGGCGATTAAAATGCAAAATTCTGAACTCTACTTTAGTTCGCATGTTTTTCTCAATATATTCAAGCCATCGTAACCAACCTCTAATTGCAATCCTATCAGCTCATTATTTTACGTTTTAAGTCTTCATGGCATTTTTTAAGATAGCTGTTTTCATCAGTCTGCTGTCGGCGTCGAGTCTAAAAATCATTTGTTACATAAGATAGCAGAAACTCTTGCACTAGGATAAAATTATTCCTTAGATTTGTAGACGTTGGGACAATACATGGTTCTTTTATTTAAAAGCCTGTTCCGGATGTATTTATCATTACTTGAATGATGGATTGATTCTCTTTTCCGTTTTTCTTTTGTAGTCCGCTTTGCTCCTGCTGAACAATTTTCAGGGTGGTTGCTTCAGCGCTACGGTATACGAAAGACTGGGTGATTTCTTGGATTTCTTGACATTGATTAACAATGGCTTAAATTTCATCTTATATTGTGTAATGTCACGACAATTCAGATACACATTTCTGCAATTATTTTGTCCATTTTTAAGCTTGTAACGTTTGCGAAAAAATGAGATTATTAGGATGGAAAATGAAACATATTTCTTTGTACAAGATAAATCTATAAATAATTCTCATAATCGCTTTGTTTTCTCTACTAACTTAACTGAATATCTGATCTGTATTTTAGTTCAAAGGGGTTACAAAGGCACGTTTGCCTTGCAATCGTATGGGGAAAACTATTTATCAACAGGAATTATGCTCACGGAGAGTAATAATTATGCAATATGAAATGATTAAAGTGGCTTTTTTAGTAACTTGGTTTTGCGAAAATCAATTGGCGCTTTTTCACAAATTACAAGTTATGTTCACTGTACTGCCACTTAAAAGAACATTTATTTGAATAAGTAGTACTTTTGCAAACATACTTTTAGTCTGATTTTGTTCTATTCACGCTTCAGTGTACAACTGTTCAGAAAGCTGTTCCTACGTTAGCTTTTGTTAAATGGATGGAAAACTTCAGAAGTCCATGCATTACACTAACTGTAATAGCAACTTTATGAAACATTTAACTACAAAGAAAGCACTCTGAATTATCAGAAAGATAGAAGACAATTCAGTGGAGAAAATGTTCATTGTGGCAATATCGTCTATGAGAGTTGAAGCTTATTGTTACTGAGAGCAGGTAAGTCTGTCAGTCGATATTAGTCTGTCAGCTGAGAAATTGATGAAACACGAAATTGTACAAGTTGTGAACTCTTTTTAAACGAGAATTTCTGTGTAAGAGTTTAAGCAGTGACTTAAATGAGGACCATGATGAATTTGTAAATACTTCATCGAGTACTAATGACATTACCAAAAGAAGTACTGTTATGTGCGAGACCGTCAACAACTTTTGAAAAAATCTGCTGTTCCTTTCGAGTCGATCGACAATTGTTAGGTTTACTTTTGAACTGTCTATATAGCTTAGTAGATTGTGGTGAGTTGTGATGACAAGTTGTAAGCTACGTAACACATTTAAAGCTGCGGTAACTGTTTCTCAGCGAAGCAACAAAATATAACTGCTTAAATGGATGTGATATAATCATCAATAATCTACTTTGCTTTTACTGCAACTCAGTTTGAAGAACAAACAGATAAAGAAACTAGATGTTTTGTCTTTTGAAATGCTCACATAAAAGTAGTGTCTCGTGGAAATATAAAGTTAACATTGAGTTATTTGCTACACTATTAGTGAAATGTTTCACTCTTATGAAATGTTGAAAAAAAAACAAATGAACATTACTTTTTCAGTAATTACATGTTACTTCTGTCACCAGTACTCATCGGTGAAGTTCTCCACACGTTATCTTCCGTACTAGAACAAAATTCGACTCTGTACAATTATTTCTAAGGCATTTATCATAAAAATCAACTGCATATTCCCATATAATGCTAGTTTCAAGTGTGGTCTCTTAGAAAACGTTAATTTCGTGTAGTTTTTCGAACCAGCACACTTGTATTCAAGAAAAATTAATAAACGAAAAATGAAAGCACAACCAGCTTCAAGTTATGTATTTGTCAGCTTTAAATGACAAACCACTTTTGAAACGACGCGATTTGTTCTAATATGGCTTAATTAAACAGTAGAGTACCGCGGAAACATACAAACGTCTGTTATGAGTAGCAACGTTCAAAAGACTGCAGGGAACAGAGTGAAATGGCAACGTGCTACCGAAGCCCTATGTTCCACTATGAAACCAAAGAACAAGTAATAAGTTAGTAGAAAATGAGTAGGATTATAGGCAATTTCAGTGAGATCTTGGTCACCTGTTCTGATTGAACTACTAAAAAAGTGTAAAACTTTTTATTATGTTTAAATATTCAATGCATTCATATTTACAATAAACTAATCCATTCTACAAAGTATAACATTTTTGTAGATATAATAATATAAACTTATCATAAGAGTACGTTACAGAAACTTTCATAATGGTGAGTCTTTAATGATTAAGCTTATATGGTTCAAATTAAAACCCACATCTGGTTCTGCTAAGTTGAAATTCACTTTTTCAAGGTAGCTTTTTCAAATAAGTAATTAAAGATTCAACAAACTGACAAAAATATACTTTTGACTTCATAGCTTGTTACTTCCAGTTATTGACTGGACTGAAATAATCAGCTGCGGTTAGTACGGTACTTCTGCACAGGTGCCTCAATACTGCCACTTATTTCACCTAATGGTGATTACAGATACTGGCAAACAGTGAAATTTGAGACCACGTTACGTCTTATTAGGGACTTGTCATCTGGATTCGCCACTATTTGAATGATTAATGGTGTCCAAATAGGCTTCCTGAACTTCACTGTTGGGCAGTTTCTATCACATTTTTATTTCCGAAGGTTACCATATATTCTTCATAATATGTTTTATTTATGAAATCTTTCAATATCAGACTTGGTATAATGACTTGTGTAACCTACAAAAAATTGTTGATGACAAACTCTGAAAATCGTGTAAAATATACTTGACTATTCTTACTAGTTGCGTCGTTTCTATTCAGGCATCTTTCATATAGCCGCCCCCTTATCTGATACATAGTTTCACAAAAATCTACAGTTCGTATCACTGGCATCTGAAAGATTGTATCTATATTTGTGTAAATACAGACTGCTGAACAAGTTCACTAGTTATCAGCCAGTCATAAGCACACATAAAAAGGAAAGGTTGGGCATATGGATAACAACCCTACACCGGAAAACCAATCCAATTAATAAAGAAACTTCAAAGTGCAAAGTAAATATAAAAAGTAAAAACAAACTTATTCCTCGCTGGAATTAGGGAGACGGAATGACGCCCGTTAGTGAAAGCCTGCAAACGGGAAGCCATTTGGCCGATGTGTCTCCTCTTCGCTCGATGAAAGCGAAAGTAAGATTGGGGACATGGAATGTCCAAACAATGTTTGAAGCTGGCTGGCAAGGCTGCCCAGATTGGAAAAGAGGTGAGAAGGTGTGGAATGGAAGTACTAGAAATCTGCGAAAGTAGATGGAATAGAAGTGGACTATCCAAGATACCTATTGGATAATTAATAATATACTGCGATATTCTCATCCAGACGGCAATAAGGAGCACACTGAGTTGCGGAGTGGCTTCATGATGTCCCCAAAACCATCGAAGGCTCTCTCTCACACACTGAGAACAAATCTCCTCCTCCACCATCACGATCACAACAGCAATGTCCAGCTCAAAAGGAAGGAAAGTCACAATCACACAATGATACGCTACGCTATGCACCCATAAAAATATGCAGATCAGGAGAAGAAGTAGTAATTCTACGGACAGCTGCAATCAGTAATGGAGGAGACCCACCCCAGTTGGCGATGGGTCTGGTGACATGAATATCAGCCAAACTGGAAGCGGACAACACAACAGGGAAGAGAACTAAGTGATCATGGGTCAAGAAGCACTCGGTGAAATGAGGAATGAGAATGGAGAACTGTTTGCAGACTCCTACACATTCAACGAGTTGGTGATTGGAGTCAGACAGTGTGTGTGTGTGTGTGTGTGTGTAAAAACACAAGGATATTCACAAGGCAGAGACATGGATTTGATTTCACATGACACCAGGACACCAGGACACACACACGCACACACACTACACTGAAAATCAGATCGACTTCATTTCAATGTGAAGAAGGTGGTGATGGAGACTCAGCCTACTGGACACAAGATGAGATGAAGAAGGGGAGCAGATGTCGGTTCACACCACTCAGTGTCCACTGCAAAGAACCTACCTTCCAAATCAAGTTGGAAGCCTTCGAATAAGAAGGTGGTGATGATAGATAACAGTTGAGGTTGAACAACCACCCAGAACAGAAACTGAACTCAACTCAACTGGACTGAACTGAACTGAACTGGACTGAAGTGAAGTGAAGTGAAGGACGAAACTGGCTTGGAAATCTCTACGTCAGTCAGTCAGTCATCAGAATAAGTTAGGAGATACTGAGCAAGATCGCTGAAGAAACCTGTGTGGAAGAGTAGTTGTAATGTGTGAAAGAGCTGAATGAGTAAGCCTATATAATCCTGTTAACAAGGAATAGGAAGCAAAACAGGAGAGGATATGACAAGAAATGGATCTCGATGGACACATGGAAGCTGATAGAAAAGGAGGAGGAGGGAAAAGACGAAGGAGAGGGAGATGAAGATGGTGAAGCAGAAGACGAGCGAATGTAGTGCATTGCAGGGATGAACAACGAGATTAGGAACTGAATACAACCCACAAAACACTTCACTGGACAAATAAGTGAGGAAGAGTTTGCGCAAAGACAAAAGACGCTTCTAGGACACACTGACAAGTGAAGCAGATCAAGCTGCAGGTAGGAGAGACACAGAGAGAGATCTAACAACATTATATCCAACAACAAGGTTACCATCTGGGAAGAGAGCTATCAACACAGATGAATACAATGAGAGATAGTAAAGGAAACTTAGTTACCACTATAAAGGAGAAACAAAGGAAACGATGGCTGGCCACTTCAAAAACACTTTTAAAGCGACCACCAACACATGCAACTCATTCAGAAATACCAACAGTAAACGCAGAATTACCAGTGAACACATGCCCTCTAACAAAACAGAAGTGGATTCCTGAACGCCAAAGTTGCAAAATGCACGGAATCAACAGGACTAGATGAAATCCCTCAGAAGCACCGAAAACAGACGGAGAGACAATAATCAGTGTGCATATCTACTGCACTGCACTTCATTCAGCACAAAGCCTGAACAACATCCGGATTCCTAACACAAATTTAGTCAAGTCAGTCAGTGCTTCTTTGTGATGGTTGAGAGACTTGACGCGTCACCAAAAGCATTTCCAACAAACTACAGACATACACCAACAGCAGCCGCCTACGCTCACTCAATGCCAAAGATCAGATGACCAGAACAATAAGTGTGATCAACAAGGAATTCTGGTCGGGCAATGAAACAACCAAGAACACGTCGCCCAACAAATATGCAGGAGGAGATGTAGATGAGTTGGGCACACACTGAGAAGACGGTTTGCTGATTTCAGGAACCAGATCAGGCCCTCGAGTGGAATGCGCATGGGAAACGACGAGTTGGGCATCCGAGAGTGACACGGAGGAGGTGTTGTGG